TCAACCTCTATGCTATTATTTATTATTATGCGTTATAAAAATGGATGCTTACAAAGTTTAGATAACCTTCACACAGTCACCAAGTCAACAAACCACAGAATTAAAACTTGAACCCCAGCATGTTTTACCATAAAAATCAGGCTTGTAAGCAAAGGTAATGACTCCGATTATAGAGTCACCGCAAGTAGGTACAAGACATTATAATGAGAGATGGAGAAAACGTTGAGGAAAAGACAACATCCTTGCCCCTGTGGAGTCAACATCCTCCGAGAAACAAAGAGGTCACTAAAAAAGTAAACCACTGAATCATTTAATTCAAAGTGCAGATAGTGTCTATATATTAGTACATAGAAAGGGAAGGGAATGGTTGTCAGGAAAACCCTCTCTGAGGAAATGACACAGGAGTAGAGACATGGGTGATTTGGAGGAGCAATCTCCGTAAAGTTGTGGGAGAAGCAGCTGGAAGCCCAGAAGATGGAAGGGCAAGTGCAAATGTCCTGAGGTGAGAAAAGCTTATTCTGTCTAAAAACAAAGATTAGCAAATTATGTTCTGTTGGCCAGATTTGTTCAACTGCCTGCTTTTTGTGCATTCTGTGACTTCAGATTGGTTTTTTAGATCTCAAGTGGTTGAAAAAACATATAACATTTGGTGACATGTAAAAATTATATGAAATTCAATTTCAATACCAAAAAATTGAAATATTTTAATACACACTCATTTTTTAAGCAACATTCATTTTTTGACATTGTTATTATTTGCTTGAGCATTACAATGGCAAATGGAAGAGTTGTTACAAACAGAATATGGCTTAAGATATTTTCTCTCTGTCCCCTGCTGAAAAAAAAATAAATCTTAGGAAAGAGATCAATGTAATAAAGGTGATTACCTAAGGAGAAAGAAAGAGATAAAAAATGAGTAAGACAGACATGGTTAACTTATAGGGGGGTGTTTTATAGGCCACAGTATAGGGGTTTTGATTTAACTGTTATTGAAAGAAGAGCTTTTGGATGGTTTGAATAGAGAGTCTGATAAAGGCATAAAGAAGCATCCCTGGATGTTTAGTTGGGGAGTAAGACAGTGGGGAAAGAGTAAGGATGAAAGCAGAGCAAGAAGTCCAATCTATTGAGCTGTTAAGATTCGATGTGTCCTCAACTAAGGAAGTAGCAGAGACATGGGTTAGAAGCATCCATTCAGAATAAATATCGATGGGCTACATGTCAAATATTAGGGCATGAGAGAAAGTAGGAAAGACTCTGGCATTTCTGGCATTTAGGAACAGGGTGATGTTTAGGGGGTGTTTACCAAGATGGGAAGGCTGCAGAGTTGCTGGTTTGGAAAGTAAGAGCTCTATGTTGGGCATAAAAAGTTTGGCATGTCTTGGGGCACAAGGAGTTAAGTCTCAGCACTGTGAAACAATCCCCAGCCACAGCAGCATGAGTCTGATACCCGGCTGGGGGGAGGTGACCTACATGGCACAGCAGACCTCTCCTGTCTTGTCTGCTGCTCCCGGAAGCTCAGTAATATATTTCAGTAGGACCGTCTGTACAGCTCCCCACTCTGTTTCTAGTGAATCCTCTCAGCATCCCGCACCTCTGTCCTGCACTGCAGTTCTTGTATGTATAAATAAATAAATCTTTAAAAAAAATTGGCATGTTTCTTAAGCCTCCAATAGTACATGCCCATTTGTCTAAAGAACACGTGTCTGCAACTCAGCAATAATCACTGTTGTGATTATTTTAGAAATAAATAAATTTGATGGAATTAAAACCATGGGGCTGTTTGGGGTACTTCAGAATGCACATGTGAGTAGAACAGAGGAGCTATCACAACACTGAGCCCAAAAGATGCTCCATTTTGAGTTCTAAATGTCAAGAGCAACACTAAGTTTCCAGTGAACTGGGAAGTAAACCATGAAAACATTCCATGGAGAAGGACGTGTCAAGTAACTCTTAGAAAATAAAGGATATGGTAGTTCTTAGCATGAGAGGCAATATGATCCCAGTCATACAGAAGAAATGGGACACTGTGCAATTTGTAAACTGACTTACAGTCCTACAGTGACAACATGCAAGATTAGAATTTGAATTCAGCAGCTTAGTTGCAGAGCTCAGGAGAAGTTTAGTTGGGATATTTAAAATAATTTTTCTAAACATTTAGGGTCAAAAATTGACAATATCTCCCTCCATTCTTCCAGAAGGGTTTTTGGATAAATCAAAAGCAGAATTATAGTTATTAAATAATTGCAGAAATTATTAAACCATTGAAATATTAGCTCATTGTTAACAAAATATGAGAGCTATAGTTAAATAAGGCCATGCTTCTTAAAACATTTTTCAGAAACCTAAACCTTACCTTATAATTTTCTGTACTATGTATTTTTATATATTAGATGTATATTTTATATATTTAGATAAAATACAGCATTAAAAGAATGAAGAATCTGGAAGTCCCAATGCCTACTGTCTTTTATGAGCTACATATAAATGACTAACATCTGAATTCATTGAGAAAATACATAGTATGGTCCTGTTATGGCAGACATCTTCGCAATCAATTCAGCCCAATGAGGAAGGGCCCATCAATCCATCAGCTAGACAGTTAATCAAAACACACACTAGAAGGTCTATCAAGTCAGGATTCTGAAGGGGATTTAACTTTGATTATTTGAACATTAAAGATGCCTGGGTTTTAAGAGTTGAGTTGCTTCCAAATAGAAGATGAAGCTGTCTTTTTTATTTCTTGAAATAAACTATCCCACCTTATTCAAAATGGGGTCAGCCAATCAATCAATTTTCTAAAAAGCAATTCATTCTAAAAGTTTACAAATAACCAGCTTAAAAGGGAGATAACAGGGCAATAGCAGTGTTCATTTTGTCCTTTTACAATTTCTACTGAAACACGTTACATACAGAATGATAACTTCAAATGACTCCAAGCTATGAAAGAGCAATTATACATCAAGGAAGAAATAAAATGAGGCAAAATTGTACCAGCCAACTTGATTTCTCCCCTGTCACTTATCACAAATTCAGGCAGTAAAATGTGTGCTTTTATCTGAAGTTTCAGACTTTTGTGTGTGTCTTTCCTGAAGCAATCTCTAAAACTTGACTATAAGCTGCACAGCTGAAAAATAAAAATCATCTGCAATTTCATCACCTCTCACAAGTTCACATCATATTATAAATCTTTTGAATGAAAAAGCTTTGTTTTCTAAGAGTCAGTAAGACCATAAACATGTGTAAATATCTGTCGAAATAAGCTCTAAGCTCACTGCAATCACTTTTAATAGGGACAATGTGCTTTCCAAAAATGAACTGACATATCCTGGAAAGAGGGAATACTTTGAAATTGCAAGTAGAGATCATATAAAAATTTCAAAGGTAATTACGTGGAAAGCAAAATACATCCATCACTAAACAATTCAATTTCACTTTTTAAAAAAAAAAAAAAGGGTTTTAGTGATACGATAGAAGTACATGCCAGGCATGTGCTAAAGTTTTTATTTTTAAAAAAAAGTTGGAATAACTTAATTTTGTAGCTTCATTACACAAGCTGTTATGGATTTCAATCCATTTCTCAAAATAATCTTGTAAAACTAGCCTCAAGAATTAATAAACAAACAAATAAACTGGAACTTTGTACATGGGGAACTTCACCCGGCATTCATGAGGAAGCTATGAGTAGTTCTATTTCCAGAATCTACCCCTTAAAGCCCTCTACCACCAACCCACTGTATTTTGTGGGATTTCAGTCGCAGCTCCTCACCAGAAAGGTATTACCTTCCTCTCCTTCAGGTTGTTTTATAAAAACCACCTGTCTCCCAAGCAGCTGGCCTGAATCTTTGCCTTCAAAAACAGCTATACTTGGGGCCTCCCTGGTGGCACACTGGAGTTAAGTGTCAGCACTTAATCTGCAACCACTGCAGCATGAGTTTGATCCCCAGCCAGAGAGGTGACCCACATGGCACAGCAGACTTCTCCTGTCTTGCCCACTGCTCCCCTCAGCAGTGTATTTCAGTAGATCTGCCTGTTCTGCTCCCCACTCTGTGTCTGGTGAATCCTCTCACCCCTCTCCCACCTCTGTACCCCAGTTCTTGTATGGATAAAAAAAAATCTAAAAAAATAAAAACACAGCTATACCTTCTTGCACCTTCTGTGGCATCCTGTAAGTTTCATATACTCCTAGTACCCAGGAGATTGAGAGATCTCACAGGCTGAGAGTGGAAGCCCCCCAAATATCACATAGACCCCAGGGGTGTCCTTGAACACAAGAGAGTACATGTGGCATCAATGGCTGCTTCACTCACCGTGGAAAGCTCAACCAGGAACAGAGCTAGAAATGAATAAATTCAAGGACATTCTGAAAACTTAAAGACTTTCCACTGAGCCTCTACCTCCTGTTTATTTGGTAGCAGTTTCCTGCACATGCTCTCCAAGAAACCACTGTTCTGGCCCATCCCTAGTCACAGGACCAGGTAGAAAAGATACTGTGTCCCTTCCTTCCTCCTTTTGGAAATTCCCAGACCATGGTTCCTCCACCCCTGCTCTGAGTCCACTGGGTTGTTTCAGGCCACCGACATGTTTGTAAGCCACACGTATGAAAACATAAGATGGGAAGGGCTTAGCTGTAAGAAAGGCATCCTAGAATAAATTGTAAAGGAGGCCAGGTATACCCAGCCATAAAGAGAGAAGCATTCACACAGGCTATGTACCAGATTCTGTCTTGGTTTCTGCCCTATATACTCAGCACACATTTGAATCATTCACCCATGTGGGTTCTGCCCCCACTGACTCTCACTGGCAAATTGTCTCTGTTTGATACAGGGCAGCAAGGGGCACTAAAACCGTCCAAGGACACTGCCCAAATAGTTTACCAGTCACTGAGTTCTTCACCCATGTGCACAACTGCAAGACAACTCAGGCTCAGGGAACAACAATAATGGGATTTACTTAACCAGAGAAAAGACAAAGAGTTACTGAGGCCAAAAATGGCCGCTTACCTCACTTGAAGAAGTATCTGGTGTTTTCTAGTCCAACACAAAAGCAGCTGAGATGGCATCTTCCTGCCAATGAGGATGCAGAACTCCTCTCCTGAACACTAGGCCAAGCGTCCAAGATGACATCTTCCTGCCTCTGCTAACTTGGAACCAGCCTCTAGGCCAGCTTCCAACTCACAAGGACAACAGTAGACACAACGGGAGATGATGCCGGAGATGCCAGAACACCCCAGCACAACACCAAGCAAGGGATACTCAAAACAGCAACTGCAGTGGCCGAATGACCCGACAAACAGCTTCACGCACGCAGCTCAGCGAGGTGCCCGGCTGCGGCTCCAGGTCTGTAAGGGCCAGGCTGTAAAGGCAGCAAAGCCGCAAACAGTTTACAGTTTCACTGGCTTGGCTACTTACAAAGCCTCCAAAATTCTCCTCTCTGAGTTTGGCTGCTGGAGGCCTCTCCATGTTCAGAGGCCCACAACAACCTTCTGAAAGATCAGTGCAGTGGGGGCTGAAATCCGCTGACCCCAAATGCTGAAGATCAATAAACCTTGAATCCCAAAGACTGAATCAATCTGCATCACTTTTGTAGTCACTTATGTTTCTTATAGGAAGCCCCACCCCAAAATGCAATACTCTTTAGCATTTTCCCTGGGGCTATCTATCCTCACCAGCAACTCCCTCCAGGGGGCACCACCTGTAACAGTCTGTGGCTTCAGCCACTGGTTACGTGTTTACTGAGCCCCTCTGTCATGGTTAAATGCTGGCTTGTATATACTAGTCTTTCATGGCTGACTTCTTCAGCTGGACAAATAAAAAAGCACCCCAGTTCTTTCTCCACTGTAGCTTGCCCACAGGCACCCCCTCCTCGGGCTCCCTTGGCAGTATAGTCCTCAGCTGGCCACTCTACAGTGTCCCTGGTTTTCCACTAAAGGTGTGGAAGCCCATGAGTTAGTGCTTTGTTTGGTTTTGGAATTCTTGTTCACCTGCCAGTCACTCTTTCAGGAGTTCCCTAAGGGCTGAGATCATGTCTCTTGCTCACCTTTGATAGAGCATATTGGCTCCCTAAACTGGCACTCAAGAAATGTTTGCTAAATGAACTATAGAATTATCAATTATTAGTATGTCATCCTTCATTGGTGATTTTATTGTCAACGCAAGTTAAAAGCACTTAGCAAAGGAAGAAAGAATGAAGTCCAATGTGTGGTAGCTTTTAATGAGCTAATAAATGTACACATTTTTTAAAAAGCAGTATCTTTTCCAAGTTAAGCCACCTGTGCATTAGATGTTCACCATCTGATTTTATTACAGCGTTAATTTTATGCATAGGGTTGTCTGCATTTTTCTAACTTCTGAGCACCATGACTCTCAGCAGAGAGAATAAGAAATTGGCTGAATGTTTAGTTAAGGCCTCTGATTCAGGTCATGGAAGATGAGTCTCTGGGGCTTGGGACATCCCCATGGTTACGCTTTTTTTTAAAGATTTATTTATTTATACAAGAATTGGAGTATAGGCCAGATGTGCAGGAGGGTGAGAGGATTCACCAGAGAAAGAGCAGGAGCAGAAGAGGCAGACAACTGAAATAGACTGCTGAGGGGAGCAGCGGACAAGACAGGAGAGGTCTGCCGTGCCATGTGGAGCCCTCCCCGGCCCCAGGATCAAACTGTGCTGCAGAGGCTGCAGACAGCTTCATAGCACTGAGCTCAACCACCTGTGCCACCAGGGGAGGCCCTCCCCATGGTTATTGCTCTCACATTTGATCTTCTTCCCTGCTTTACGGAATGCAAAATGGAATGAGAGAAACAATATAATACAAATTCTGAGCAGGTAAACAAAATCACTGAGGCCCAAGCCTATTTCTCTTTTCCAAAAAAGACTAAAGAATCCTTATCAAGATTCATGGTCCTGTGGGAAGAAGTAGGGCATGAGTCTGGGGTGAGTTCACTGAAGAGATGAGAGGCCTCTTTAGAGAAGTCTGAGGAAAAATAAACTTTCTCTGCCACATCCAATGCCTCTCAAAGAGGTGTGACCTGTAATCAAGCAAAGACGCTCTCGGTGGCTCCCCGCAGGTACCCCAGCCAGTATCCCCTAACTCCATGCAGTCTTTATGCAGCTCTGCTGCATCTAGTGGGGTCACACAGGTTTCCCTAGATCCCTCTGCCAAGAATGAGCCAAGTCTCTAAAATTGTCTGTCCTCTTAAAAAAGTGCAGCTATTAATAGTTCCTCTCTCATATGAATAATAGATAAGTTAAAGCAGGCAGTTCACTCAGAAGAGATCCTGCCAGTTAGCAACGCTCAAGAAGCTGTTAATATTAATGCAGATTTTCCAGCAGCCATTCCGTCCCCTGCCTGCTCTTTTACTTAGCAACTTGACTCAACCTGGCAGCATCACAACAGTCCCACTAGAACTTGGAACCTGTTAAGACCTGTTAGCTGCCTCACTCAGAAGTGCTCATATTTAGCATATCCTCATCTGTGTCCCAGCCTCCTGCCTCCTTACACTTTTCTGTGAAGACTATGTCGTTATAAACATCTATCCCTCTCGCCATCCTTTCTTCCCAATTTCAAATGTCCATGCATCTCAATTCTACTCGTTAGTTAACAGGCTACATACTTTCCTGAGCCAATACCCAATCTTTAAGGGTCCCATGAATAGTGTCCTTTGAGACAGTCACATAATAATGAGTAAACTTTGATCCTCTATTTTTCTTAAATATCCATTATTTTCTTACTTTCTCGAATGTAGCCTCACACACATTTATCATCCTCAGTCTTCCTCTGTCTTTTCTTCGTTCTGTAAACACTAGCCTCATGTGAGGCTTTGTGCAGGAAGAGCTCCAATCAGTTTACAAAACTATTCAAGTCTGCAGACCCTAAAAATATTTTGCCAAGTGTGCCACTCTCTCTATCTGCCATTACACCATCACTTTCTCAAAATATAGTCTAAATCCCCTGCCTCCAACTCTTCACCTATATATGCCTTAACATCTGGTTTCTGTCTCAATGATATTTGTTTTCTCTCAAACAGTGTAAGACTGGGTGGAGGAAGCGCATGTGTGTGTGTCTGTGTGTGTGTTTAAAATCTTTGTGTGCTCATGTTCCTCATCCCCCTAGATCCCCATAACATTCAATGCCTGCTTTGATGTTGAGATGTGTTTTGCATTTTGTGACACTGCACTTCTCTACCTCTCTTTCTGGCTCTCTTGCTCAGAGTCCAGGTGAATAGCTCTTTCGTGTGCTCATTTTGGCACAGCATCCAAGACCAACACCCTAGGTCAATACTTAGCAACCTGCAATTCTATGCAAAACCCTCACAGCAGAACTGGGAAGGGAAGTAGTATAGTTTTATGGTATAAATAATAACAAAGTATCCTACAGAATGAAAAAGAAGGAAATAGACCCCTACTACTGGATCAAGACAAAACCCTGAGAAAAAACCCTAATGTAACAGAACTAACCTAAATTTAAAGACAAAGTTGAAGGAATTCATCCCCTTAAAGCAATGAAAAGAAACCTCACTTAGAAGCAACAAGACTCCCAAAACAGAAAATATAGGGGGAGGGAGGTGAAAAAGATACTGCTAAAAGGAGCTCAAGATCAACTTACTTTTCAACTGACGATAGGTTATAAGTATGGAACCCTCTACATAACTGCATGCTAACTTCAGGGGGAAAACTAGAAAAAAGAAAAGAAAAGAAGATGAACACAAAATCCAAATACTACACAAAAGATAGTCTTCAAAATGAAAGGGAAGAGAACAAGAGATAAAAGGAATCCCCATACACTGTGAGTGAGAATGTATACTGACTGGCCCAAGCTCCTATGAAAAAATAGAAGTTTCTGGAAAATATTAAAAATGGATCGACCATCTGATTCAGTGATCCCTTTCCTACATATCTTGCCAAAGAATGGAAAAACACCAATTTGAACACATCTGTCTATGTTTGTTGCTGAATGATTTACAATAGCAAGGTATTGAAACAACGTAAATGCTCAAGGACAGAAGAGTGGACAGGGAAGGTGTAGTCTGTGTCCCCAACGGAATGCTACTCAGCCATGAAATTTAAAAAAGATGAAATCTTGCCATTTGTCGCAACATACATGAAACTGAAGGGGGTGATGCTGAGTGAAGTAAGGAGAAAAATAAACACTAGATAATTTCACCCATACGTGGAATATAGAGAAACAAAACAAAGGAATGGGAGAAAATAAACTCCTGTACTATGACTGTGGAACTGAGGCTAATCCACGAGGAGGGGATGAGTAAACAAAAGGGGAAGGGGAATCAGTGGGTTGCGGTGGGGGTTATTGGGATTTTGGTGGTAGATGTGGTGTGATAACATGTATTTGTAGAGGTATAAGCCTAGACCCCTCCAACATACAGTGCTGTAAGCCAACATGACTTCAATAACCATAATTGACCAAAAAGATGGAAAGAAAATATAGCAGCTAAGGATGGGAAACAACTTTTTAACTTCCTCACCTTTCTTTTCTGAGTAGCATTTGTCACTAGGAATTAAAGGGATAAATAATATCAAATCTACTTTACCTGAAATCAAGCATGTAACTATATTCATAAATTAGTTTTTAGTAAAATATCTGGATAGAATGTCGGGTAGCAGGAAGCAGGGAACATAATGGAATGCCCAGCTCTGTGTAGTTATCGAGCATTGTGGGGATAGAATTAGGATATGTGGAAAGCATCCTCCCCAGGCAGTTCTTTTAAGGAAAGTATCACATCAGTTGGCTGTGTGCCGGAAGTGAGTCACACACAGATTAGAACCCAGGTTGACTTCCCTACCTCCATGGAGGTGAGCAGCAGGGATATCTGAGGAGACATGTTTGTCAGCATGTAGAGTGTGCATCACACACTCACCTGCTTCCAGGACTCCCAGGAACAAAATGCTGCTCCAAAAAGCAGGAAGAGGTTATTTTGATCTTCATGTGACCAGTACCATCTAAAGAGGGATTCATGCACATCAAGGGGCACTGGGATGGGAGCTGGTAAGTGAGTGGCAGATACTTGGTTTTTTAAAGGAGGATGAACTGCTTATGGTCCAATCCAGTTGGCTTGGCTTCCTAATCACCTGTATCATCAGTCGTAGCCACACTAAGCCTAGACTGTTGCTTCTGTTCATTATGTCCTGAGTGCCATAAGTAAAAAGGGGTTTATCTGAGAATATCACTTTATACTTTTTTCATTTTTTAATTAATGAATTTCTCACAGTGTTGTTTATTTTTGTACAGTAATTGATTTCTCCCCAGAGCAAAAGCCTCTGTAGCTCTCCCACCACCACAAACCATCACCATAGTCCCTTGTCAATCACTTTATATTTCCTTATAGCCTTGAAAATCATTCCAGCTTACTCTGAGAAATGCTGGTTAGCTGTTTGAGAGATGCTATCTGACTAATGGCATGAATGAGTTACAGCTAATAGAATTTTCATTGAAAATAACCACTGAGACTAGATGCAGAGAGAATGATTAATGGATGATAAGAGAGGAAGCCACTTGTTAAAAAAGCATCTGTGTCCAAACAGGTTGAAAAATA